ATCTCTCAACTAAATAAATTAAATTTAGTCAGAGGACTTCCCAATTTGAAGTACAACTCAAAAGCTCTGTACGAAGCATGCCAAAAAGGAAAATTTTCAAAACCTTCCTTTAAATCCAAAAATGTTGTCTCTTCCTCTAAGCCATTAGAGTTACTTCATATTGATCTGTTTGGGCCAGTTAAAACCGCATCCATCAGAGGCAAGAAGTATGGATTGTTCATTGTTGATGACTTCAGCAGATGGACATGGGTAAAGTTTTTAAAACACAAGGATGAGTCACATTCTGTGTTCATTGACTTCTGTACTCAAGTGCAAAACGAAAAAGATTTTAAAATCATAAAAGTCAGAAGTGATCATGGTGGTGAATTTGAAAATCATTATTTTGAAAAGTATTTTAAAGAAAATGGTATTGTTCATAATTTTTCTTGTCCTAGAACTCCCCAGCAAAATGGAGTTGTAGAAAGAAAGAATAGAACATTACAAGAAATGGCCAGAACCATGATCAATGAAACTAATATGGCAAAGCACTTTTGGGCAGAAGCTGTGAACACAACGTGTTACATTCAGAATAGAATCTCTATAAGACCTATTCTTGAAAAGACTCCCTATGAATTGTGGAAAAACAAAAAGCCCAACATTTCTTATTTCCATCCTTTTGGATGTACTTGTTTTATTCTGAACACCAAAGAAACTCTGAACAAGTTTGATTCCAAAGCACAAAAGTGTTTCCTGCTTGGATATTCTGAACGCTCAAAAGGCTATAGAGTATACAACACAGAAACTCTGATTGTTGAAGAATTAATCAAAGTCAGGTTTGATGATAAGCTTGGCCAGCAATAGCCAAAGCAAATTGATTTTTCTGTAGGTACAGAAGATCATCCATCAAACTCTGAACCTTCAGAAGCAAAGAAAGACTCATAAGCAAAAGAAGACTCGGCACATCATCCTCTTGACAATGCTCTGGACAACCTCAGAATCTCTGATCAACCCACTCAGAAAAGGTTTCCTAGAATATCTTCAGCTCACAAAGAAGACATAATCATTGGAAGAAAAGAAGATCCCGTCAGAACAAGATCCTCTCTCAGAATCAATGAAGAATCTTTGTTTCATTTGGTTTCTCTGATTGAGCAAACTTCCATTGATGAAGCTATGAAAGATAACGATTGGATCTTAGCAATGCAAGAAGAACTCAATCAATTCTCCAGAAATAATGTATGGAATCTAGTTCCAAGACCCAAAGGATTCAACGTTATAGGAACCAAATGGGTTTTCATAAACAAATTGAACGAGCAAGGAGAAGTAATCAGAAATAAAGCACGACTGGTTGCACAGGGTTATAGTCAACAAGAAGGAATTGATTATAATGAAACCTTTGCCCCAGTCGCCAGGTTAGAGTCTATAAGATTATTAATTTCTTTTGTTGTACAAAATAACATTTCATTATATCAAATGGATGTTAAAAGTGCATTTCTAAATGGCTATATTGAAGAAGAAGTTTATGTCCATCAACCTCCTGGATTTAATGATTTAAAACATCCAGAACATGTTTTTAAATTAAAAAAGTCTTTGTACGGTTTAAAACAAGCTCCCAGAGCTTGGTATGATCGTTTGAGTAATTTTCTTTTAGAAAAAGATTTTACCAGAGGGAAAGTGGACACAACTCTTTTCAGAAAAACATTTAAAAATGATATTTTAATTTGTCAAATTTATGTTGATGATATAATTTTTAGAACCTCTAATATCTCCCTTGGAAAAGAATTTGCTAAGACCATGCAGGCAGAATTTGAAATGAGCATGATGGGAGAATTGAAGTTCTTTCTGGGAATTTAAATCAACCAGACTCCAGAAGGTACTTTCATACATCAGACGAAGTATGTTAAAGAACTTCTGAAGAAATTTCAGATGTCAGAAAGCAAAGATGCCAAGACACCTATGCATCCAACCTGCGTTTTGAGTAAAGATGAGGTAAGTATGAAGGTAGATCAGAAGCTCTATAGAGGTATGATTGGATCCCTTCTCTATCTGACTGCATCTAGACCTGATATACTATTTAGCGTGTGCTTGTATGCTAGATTCCAATCAGATCCTAGAGAATCTCACTTAACAGCTGTTAAGAGAATTCTTAGGTATCTGAAAGGTACTACTAATTTGGGTTTGTGTTAACACATAGCATCAAATACAAACATCAAAACATGATTTTCAATATCAATTTCATGATTCTACATTCAAACCCTAACATGTCAAAATCTAGAAATTAAAGAACAAATCTCTATTTTCATATTACTACCCATCACATACCATTATATATACCCATAAATTAAAGAATATCCATACTTACCTTAGATGTAGATACTCTAGGATTCTTCCTTCTTTCTTCCTCTTCTCTTCTCTTCTATTCTCTTTTCTTGTTTCTTTCTTTCTAGTTCTATTTCTCTTTGTTTTACAACAACCCTTACTAGCTCTTGTTTTTCTTTATTGGGCTTAACCCACTCTCACACTAAACCATCACCAAGACCCAATTGACTAATAATGATATTCTCACACTTACTAGCCCAATTACTCAAATAATATATATATTCCAATTAAATCAATTATTCACATAATCACACAAAATCAAATAATTAAATAATTATCAACCAAATAATAATTAACAAAATAAATACTAATAAAATTGGTTAATAAAATTGGGGTGTTACATTATACGTCAGAGATCCACCAAATATCACTTTATACTTGGTCGCTACCGCTCAAGAACAGTCCCTTGACGAATCCCTGCAACAAAGAGAACATGTTATCCTTCAGTTGAAGAAAAACTTACAAAAAAGCAGAGTTCATATGGAAAAACAAGAAAATACCAAGGGAGTTCATTGTACGTTATATACTGGTGACCTTGTTCTCCTCAAACTGCAACCCTATCGACAAAATAGGGTTTAGAAATGGGTCTCTCAAAAACTTTCTCCATGGTTCTTTGGACATTTCATTGTGATCAAAAGAATCGTCATGGTAGCATATCTATTGGATCTCCCTTCAACTTCTCATATTCACCTGGTGGTGCATGTATCCCTCTCTCTTCAAAGCTATCCTTTGAACACCGAACCCCACTTACCCTTATCTCTTTATCCCAACTCTCACCCACTTGTTCAGATTCGTTGTACTTCTCACTCTCTAATTCATGTGGTTTCTTCACTTCCCAACCAAACCAACCCTAATGCAAATTATGTTCCCCTAGGACCAATTATATCTTGTACAAAAGCTTTCCCAAGTGGCCCAATTCCTCTGACTACAGACCCATGGCCTTTCAACCCATATGCCACCTCCAATTTGAACCTTGAGGACAAGGTTCTTAATGGGCCAGTGAATATTGATAAGAAGTATCGGCCCATTAGAGAAAAAAAGAAATCAAACCTCCTTAGAGATTTTTATGATTGACAAGAAGGGGGTCCCTTTAGCATTATTCACTACTTTTATTATTTTGATGTTATTCTCTATATTGGCCCATGGTCCATTTAGCTTTCAAACCCTAGCTATTTAAGTTGTAAGTTTTGTTTTGAGAATATTAAAAAAGTTATGAAATTTGTTCTTATGTTAATTTCTTTTAATATCTATTTGATCTAAATTTAGCTTAGCATAGTCTATCACCAACAATTAAGGATATTTTATTTGATTTTCTAAAATTGTTTTTTTCATGTTTTAAAAATAATAAAACTTGATTTACAATTGTTTTTTAAAAACCATAATCTATTTATTAGTTTTGAAAACTAAAAATCTAAAATAAAATTTAGAGACTTGAGTGTTTAGTTTTGAAACTTGAAAAAAAGGTAACAATAAGAAAAAGATGTAAAAATTTTATTAATGACAAAATAATAATATTTTTCAAAATAAATTTTCAATCTTAAATTTAAGTATATAAAATCAAAGAGTTCCAATATTCATATATTATAAGAATATTCAGATTGTAAATAAAATTATGATTTATTCTATAAATAAAATAAAAATATTAAATTAATATATTATAGATTAATACAAATTTCGTTTCTATCATGTCGAAAAATGTTATTGAAAAACTAAGCGTGTGATATTAAGGATATTCAAATTCAAACTGATCTAAATTAAAATCGCAATTGTTTCAAAAAAAATCGAAAACTTTAAAATTTTGAATGTTATTGGATGTGTTCGAATGCCATTTTATAAAAAATCATTCGTTTCGAATTCGATTTTAAATTAATTTTTTTAAACTGATTCAAACCTAACCGAACCATATATATATTTTTTAATACTTATTTATTTTTTTATTTATATGATATATTGTGTTAATTTATTATTCAATAATACTTTTTTTTAATATTAATTAATAGTTTAATTTAATCTATCTATTTATAATATTTCATTTGTTTCAATCGTAGTTGATTATTTTCATTACTTAATTTTAATATATTATATATTACATACTATATTAAATCTATTATTTATTTTTGCTTATAATATAAATATAAATATAATTTATAATTTTAATATTTAAAAATTGATTCAAATTAAATTACATAAAATTAGATTGAATCGGATCAAATATTTTTAAATAATCATTTAAAATTGAATTGAACTGGATCTGCAAGTAAATTTATTTTTAGTGCAGAAGAATTTTTACCTAAAAAACGATTCAAACCGCATGGGGAAATTCATATGCTTTGAGAGCCTTGAAAGAGCTTATTATTTGTTTTCATAATTAAATTTGAAAAAAACAGTTTGTTGCAATAATTCCTGTTATGAAACCGGTTCTGTTTTTCTTATCTCTTATTTTTCAAACCGGGTTTCGAAAGTGGTTTTAAAAACCAAATTTATTTTTTCTGGTTATCACATGAACATAGATTGGACACAGAAAAAAATCCAAACCATTAACGCGCTCTCGCGGTGGTGACTAGGCAGTGCACAAGGGTTCTGTTGCGCCGCCGGCGCCGTGCGTAGAAGTTGATGCATGATTATTGATTTTAGTGAAGCAAAAAATGGCGTGGAGGGTTTTCACATCACCGCTTGTCAACAAATTTCAGTTGTACAACAACAATCTCGCCCCTTTCTTCTTACACTGTTGTAGCTTGAATTATGTTATATGCAATTTCAAAGTTCCTTCGACACTAGCCTGCCAAACCTTTCATTCAGGTCCATTTTTAAAGTTTAATCATGGTGCTAATGGTGTTAATGGTGCTAATGGTGATGTGAAAGTAATGAGGAATAAACTCAAGGGTAAAAGAGGTGTTGTAAGATGGCTTAAGTTCTTTAGGTTTAAGAAGAAGAAAGAGTTTCAAAGGATGACTACAGAGGAAAGAATTTTATACAAGCTATTCAAGGTCTGTTCTCTTCTCTTTTTTCATTCAATTTGTTGAAATAATCTGATTATTTTATGTATATTCTTATCTATTCAAGCTATTCAAGAATTTTATCTGTACTAATTTGTTGTTTTGAATTAGACATAAAATAAGACATATATTTTCGGTTTGCTGGTGTGTATTGTATGTTTGTTAGGTTAGTTGGTGAATATAAAGCTCTTTCTATGCCATTTTAGGCTCGAAAAAAAGAAGAGAAACTCCGCGAAGCTTTGAGGAAGATTGAGCCTACAGAATCATCAGAAACAACCCATGATCCTGAGATATTGACACCGGAAGAGCACTTTTTCTTCTTAAAAATGGGTCTGAAAAGCAAAAATTACGTGCCAGTTGGTAGAAGGGGAATTTACCAAGGTGTAATTTTGAACATGCATTTACATTGGAAAAAACATCAAACTTTGCAAGTGGTGGTGAAGACATTTTCAGCGGAGGAGGTTAGGGAGATTGCCACTGAGCTGGCAAGATTAACCGGAGGTATAGTGCTTGACATTCATGAAGATGACACAATAATAATGTACAGAGGGAAAAATTACTCTCAACCACCAACAGAGATAATGTCTCCACGAATCACTCTCTCAAGAAAGAAGGTACTTTGTCTTGTGTTCAACATTTCACTATTTTTGTGAATAAAAAACTGATTTGAATAAAATGTTACATCTGACTCTCACTGTCTGAACTTGGATTACTCTCATCTTATGCAGGCATTGGATAAATCAAAATATAGGGATGGCCTCCGAGCTGTGAGGAGATATATTCCCAAACTTGAGCAAGAGCTTGAAATTCTTCGAGCACAACTTAAAAGCACAGGGGAAAGTAACATAGAAGCAGCAGAGGGAATTCAAATAAGTGACAAAGCGAGTGTTGAACCAACTAGTGTTTCAAATTTCCAATTAAAGAAAATCGGTGCGATGTTTAATGATAACAATGGTTGCTCAGAGGATGAAGAAGATCTGGACTCTGATTTGGATTCGTATTCTGATAAATTATCAGACATCTTTGAGACAGATTCAGATACAGAGAACTTGGTAAGGGAGAAGAAACCTCTTTATTTGGATGAGTTTAATAATTTTCCTGAGCTAAGTGATGAAGACACAGATGATTTTGAAGAGCATCTGCAACAAATATCACTCAACTCCAAAAATATGGAAAAAGATGCTGCTGACTCGCCCAAGTTTGACGAAGTTGACCGGATTTTTCTGCGTGCTGCATCATTTTTAAAGAAAAAGAGAAATTGAGACCCATCATTGAACTCAATGTAGTTTCTTTTTCGCGGGAGGATGTATTATAGGTGGAGATTTTTGGAGAGGTAGACATAATTCATTTATTTATGATAAACCATTAAAACTGTCAACTGTTTTCGATAAACTGTTATAGAAAGAGACTAAATATGAAATTTTCCATGTAACTATATCACTTTTTGTTTTAGTTTTTATAAAATAATATTTAATTTTGGTTTTTACAATTATTTTTTATTTTGGTTTTTATTAGAGAATTGATTGTAAAATGAATGAAACTGATAATATTTTCCATTATGTGAAAGAATAGAGGATACGATGTATTTATACTAGCTCAGGGCCACAATGGCTATATTACAAGGTAACTAATTTCCTAAATAATAGGAGAGAAATTAAGAGCATAACAGAATATCCCTAATAAGCCCCTTTAAGTTGGGGAATGTATGTTCAACATTCCAAGTCTGCGAGCTGATTTGAAGATGTTATCAGAAGAAGACGCTGCGAGCTGATTTGAAGATGTTATCAGAAGAAGACGAAGAGACCAGCTTGTACTTGTTGACGAACAACATGGTAGTCAATGTTTAAATGCTTGGTACATTCATGAAAAGTAGGATTCATTGTAATATGTCGAGCAGAGTTGCTATCACAATATAGAATGGAAAGTTTAGTGAAGTTGAGTTGCAAAGTTGAGTTGCAAATCTTGAAGTAAAAATGTAAGCCATTGAATTTCGCAAGTTGTTGAAGCGAGAGCTCTATATTCAGCTTCAGATGAGGAGTTTGTTTCTTCGAACGTCATGAAATTAAAGATGAACCCATAAAAGTGCAAAATCCTATTGTGGACCGGCGAGACATATGACATGTGGCCCAGTCCGAGTCACTGAAGGCTTTAAGGTGAATAGGAGAGTCATATGACATAAAAAGACCATTACTGGGTGCATTTTTGATGTAGCAAACAATTCTGAGAGTAGCATCATAATGATGTCTTGTTGGATTCTACATAAATTGAGTGAGATGTTGCATTGTAAAATTGATGTCAGGACGCGTGTTGGTTAAGTAAAGAAGCCTTCCAATGAGGCGACGAAAAATTGTAGGATCATGAGGAGTTGTAGATGTATCATAAAGGAGTTTGGAGTCTTTGATTATCGGAGTTGGAACAGGTTTAGATGCAACGAGGCCAGTGCCAACTAAGATATCCAAGGCATATTTGTGTTGGCAGAGATGTATTCCTTTGGTGGTGTGTGAGACTTAAAGACCAAGAAAATATTTGAGATTTCCCAAGTCTTTGATGCGAAAAGTAGAATGAAGAAAATCTTTAACAATTGTAATTTCAAAAGTTGAGTTTCCTGTGAGAACTATGTCGCCTACATAGATAAACAGATTAATAAAGGTAGTAGGAGATGACTTGATGAACAATGAACGATCATATTCTGAATGGTGATAGCCAAGAGAAATGAGGGCACAAGAGAGCTTGCTAAATCATTGTCGACTGGCTTGACGAAGACCATATGAATATTTGTTTAAACGACACACTTGATTAGGAGAAGTTGGCATTAATCCTGGTGGTAACTTCATGAATACTTCTTCATGTAAATCATCGTGAAGGAAAGCATTGTCCACATCTAATTGTTGAAGAATCTACCCATTATTGTTGAGTATATCCTTTGGCCACAAATCGAGCTTTGTGACATTCAATTGTGCCATCAGCTCTATGTTTGACACGATAGACCCATTTGCTTCCAATAGCAACTTTGTCCTTTGGTAAAGTGGTTAAAGACCAAGTATGGTTAGTGTCAAGGGCTTGAAGTTCATTGTTCATGGCAACAATCCAATGTTGGTATTTGATAGTTTGGTTGTATATTTGAGATTCATCTGCATTAGTGATGTAAATAGGGTAGTGTAGGTGAGAATGAGATGTTTTGTGATAGGAAATGACAGTGTTAGGGATATAAAAGATTGGTAGTGGAGGATGAATTGTGAGGTTTATAATTACTGTGGAAATCTTTAAGGTAAGTAGGAGTTTTAAGAGGTCTTGTAGATTTTCTGATTATTTTGTCAGAGGGTGGTGGGGGTTTAGAGGGATAATTTTCAGTAAGAGAAATAGAATCAGAGGAGCTGCTAGTGGTTGTCTCATGGGAAAATTGAGATGCATTAGGGTAACTGTTGTAATTAGGAGAATCATCAAACAAAAAGTTAAATAATTTGTATCATCAGGATCAATGTTAGCACCTGATGCTGATGTAACTGCAGAATTAGCAAAAGGAAAAGTAGATTCATAGAAGATAACATTCCTAGAAATAAAAATTTCTCTAGTAGAGATGTTAAAAACAACATAACCTTTGGTACTAAATTTAAATCCCAAGAAAATGCATTTACGAGCTCTTGGATCAAGTTTGATACGATCGTGGTCCAAAATGGAAACATAACATAATGAACCAAACACTTTTAATTGCAGGAAAGTGGGAGGTTGATCACAAAGCATTTCAAAATGAGGTTTACTTTTCAAAACAGACATATGCAATCTATTTATTAGATAAACAGTATGGAGAACAACATAGGACCAAAAACATTTGGGAACATGAGCATGGAAAATAAGGCTTATAGTCATATTAAGAATGTGACCATGTTTTCTCTCAACACTGGAATTTTGTTGGGGGTAGCAACACATGAAGTTTGATGAGTGATGCCAAATTTTTGATAAAAATCATTACAAAGAAATTCAGATCCATTATCTGATCTAAAGATTTAACATCTTTGTCAAATTGTGTTTTGACAAAAGTTAAAAAATTTTAAAGTAAAATTCGAGTTTCATATTTTGCAGTCATGAGAAAAATCCAAGCGTCTTTAGTGTAATCATCAATAATAGTTAAGAAGTATTTTTGACCATGTAAAGAAGGAATTGAAAGAGGGCATCTAATATCAACATGAATTAAATCAAAAGCATTAACAGTAAAAGAAGAACTACGTGGAAAAGGTAATTTGCATTGCTTAGCCAAATGGCAAGAGTCACATATTCTATTTGAATCATATTTGGCATAAGAAAAAATATTATATAATTGATCAATAATCTTATTTGAAGGATGTCCTAATTGACAATGCCAAGTATCAAAAGAAGAAACAAATTTTATAACAGTAAAAGTATGAATATCAGAAGCAATTTTGGGTAAAGGTTCTTTAGTGTAGTAAAGACCATTTTGAAGTTTAGCTAGCCCAATCCTCTTCGAAATTATCATGTCTTGAATGTGACAAACAAATTCGTGAAAAGTCAATTTGCAATTAGATTGACAAATTAAAAGACGAGCATATATGATATTCAGTTTGAAATCAGGTAAATATAAAAAATTATATAGCTTTAAGAGAGGAGAAAATTCATTAGTGCCAGAAAAATCAGCAACAACAGTATAGCCATTTGGTAAAGATATAGGGATAGGTTTGATTTTGCGAAAAGAAGTAAAAAAATTCTTGGTATGAGTAATGTTCTAGACTGGGCATGTGGCTGACTCACCGTCGAGCACAACCCAATCCACTTCTACATCAAGGACGACCCAAAGTGTTGGTCCAATCTATTAGGACCAGTGGAGAACATGTTTCCCATGTGCTCCTCACCCAAGGACACATCAGTAACCGAACCCGCACACCTCGCGTGACTGACGAAACCATTTTCCCCTTTGTAACGGGCAAGCCTATCCATTACCCGTAGAATGTGGAGGCGGTTGACCCAGGACGATGAACACGAGCTACTCATCTCTACTTTCATGTGGAAATCCTGGAAGTCATCCGTTGTGGGCCTAAACATTCAGCCCATAACAAAGATCATTGGCCAAGTGTTGGGGGTTCACTATAAAAACCCTCATCTACATGAGGGTAAGGTATTCTATTCTTCACCCTTTTGTACTTTCTTCACCCGAACTAACTTAAGCATCGGAGTGCCTGTAGGTATAATCTCTCATCTGTTGATCATTCAGAACTACATACGTGTTGTTGGCTGCTCACTTATTCTGATCAATATGTAAGATCATGTAGCATGATCAATTGTCCCACTGTCAAGAATCCAAGACTCTTTTGCAGAATCAAAAGTACCTGCATCAATTGATGAATGTTGGTGATTCACAAAGGAACAAATTGGACCAATATAAGGAGAATCGATGTTGTGTTCAGTGTCATTTGCAGAATTTGAAGAATTATTCAATAGGGATAAAAGTTGTTTGATTTGTTCAGCATTGAGTTGAGGGTTAGATGTGGTATTGGTGTCTTTATTAGAAGTAGGAGCAGTTATGTTGCCACCAGTCGAATTAGTGGCAGCAATAATAGATTGTTGCTTTAGTTTATATCCAGGTGGAAACCCATGCTTAAAATAACATGTATCAATAGTGTGACCTAATCTCATCCAGAAGGTAAATTGCTTTGGAGGTCCACGACTACTAGATGAATTGCGACCACGACCGATGTTGTTGTAACCACGACCTTAGGAATGATTACCATTATCATAAACATTGTAAATAATTTTTTTTTTATTCTTGAATTTGCTTGATTCTGAACCTTGTTGATAGAAGGAAGGGGATCCAAGAGAAGGATTCGAGAACAAATCGTATTGTAATTATCACTTAGTCATTTCAAGAAGAAAATTACCAATTCAGAGCAATTGACGGTGTGAGAGATTGAATTATCTAAGAGATAACAAGACCATTCAATCTATTTTATTTTAATTAACAATTGTCTATATTTGAGACACAAACTTATTATTTTTAAATATCAAAATTCATCTTTTTCTTACTTGCCACTATCAATAAAATACATATTTTATTTTAATTAACAATTGTCTTTATCTTAGGCGTAAAATTCTTATTTTAAATTGTCAAAGTTTCTCTTTTTCTCATATAGCACTATTAAAAAAAAATCTATTTTATAACAATTATCTTTATTTTAGACGTAAAATTCTTATTTTTAAATGTCAAAAAAATTTATTTTTCTCACGAATCACTATCAACAAAATACATATTTTA